CCGGTAGCGCTCGGGGCAGCCCTTTTCCGCGTGGCTGGGAGTGGGAGGGAGGAGGGGGCGGAGTTAGGGTGGGGAAGGGGCGGAGTTGGGGCGGAGTTTGGGGTGGGAAATGGGCGGGGCCAGGACCCCGTGGAGAGTCCTCTTTTTTATTTGTTAAGTATGGTAACCCTAATGTTAAATGTATTCCATAAAGTATATAGGCTGTATGATGTGGCTGAGTGAATGTTGCAGTAGGAACCTGAATATTGGTATTTCCAGGCTTTGAGATTTTTTCAAAATAAACAAGCTTAACGTTGCTTTCTTTTAGAGTTTGCATTAAACATATGTATGAGAGCTTGTCTACATGTGCGTTAGTGCGCAACATGCTGGTGTGCACTAACTGGCCCTGTGGACCCTGCTGGCGTACACTAAAAGTTCCCTAGTGTGCACTGAATAGCTGACTAGCCAGTAGTACTGCAGAAAAGGATTGGGGGTTATAGTGGATATTAAGATGAATATAAGCCAACAACGTGATGCAGTTTCAAAAAAGGCTAATATAATTCTGGGACGTATTAACAGGTGTGTCATATGTAAAAAACAGGATGTAATTGTTCCACTTTACTGAGCATTGGTGAGGTCTCAACTGGAGACTGTGTCCAGTTTTGAGCGCCACACTTTAAGAAAGGTGTGGACAAATTGGAGATGGTCCAGAGGAGAGCAATAAAAATGAGAAAAGGTTTAGAAAAACCTGACCTGTGAAGAAAGGTTAAAAAAACTGGACATGTTTAGTCTTGAGAAAAGGAGGCTGAGCGGGGACCTGAGAACAGTCATCAAATATATTAAGGGGTGTTATAAAAAGGACTGTGATCAATTGTTCTCCATGCCCACTGAAGGTAGGACACGATGTAATGGGCTTAATTTGCAGCAAGGGATATTTAGGTTAGATATTAGAAAAAACTTTCTAACTATAAGGGTAGTTCTGGAATAGGCTTCCAAGGGAAGTTATGGAATTTGCATCATTGGAGATTTTTAAAAACAGGTTGGACAAACACCTGTCAGGGATGTCCTAGGGTTACTTGCTCCTGCCTCAGCACTGGGGGCAGGACTTGATGACTTCTTGAGGTCTCTTCCAGCCCTATATTTCTATGATTCTGTCTTTTTAAAATGTTAAAGTAAAAGGCTAGTGTCACATAGAATTGACGTTTGTAGAATTTGTTTAGTTTGTTAGCTAATATGGTATTTCTAAAATTGTCTTTGCCTTAGAATGAAAGGAAAGAAACATTCCTAAAGCCAGCGGGAGATTCACCAGAACAAGGGAAATCAGAAACAGAACAGAAACCACCCAAACAAAAAAATAAGCAACATATTACTCAAAAACCCCTCTCTTTACATACAAGTCTTGGGTATGTATATATATAGGAATACCGAACTTAGGTATTCAGCACCCTAATATTGTGAGGGGTGGTGGGCATTCATCATTTTGACCTTGAAATCAAGTGCTTTACCTTAGCATATCTATAACACCTCATATCCACATACCTCTTTTTTTCAACTTCACACCAGCATTGTGATTGTGCTTGCTGTGGATAAACCAAAACACTGCAGCATCCTCCACCAGCTCACTCTGGACCACTGCAGTGCTGGAAACAAACGCAGGAGTTCGGTTAGTTTTCCCAGTCCAGTCCCCTATTGCTGCTGCTTATCTTTCAGTGACGGCTTTAAAAATGTAGACTGCTAACTCAGTCACCTGTCTAGCTGCTCACTTACTGTTTGCATGCTGGCCCTGAGGTTGTTCTCTGCTCTGCCCAGTCCCCGCCACGCCTCAGCATAGGAAGGCACACAAGCTTAACATTAAAACTTTCCTGAGCCAGAGTCACCTGAAAAACATGGAGAAAACTGAGTTAGTTAGATGATGCTATGAGTATTGCATACATCTTCTGCCTCTCAGCGTTACTTACATTGCCAGGATTGCCTTGGCAGTCCATACCCTTTTTTTGTTGTTTTTTTTAAAGCAGCAGGTCCTATGCTTCTGAGATCTGAAAAGGAGAAAGAAAACCCCAGAAAATGGACATTAATCAAAAATGTACAATCCACCCCTACCACCTTCATTCTCTAGTAAATCCATGTGCCTCCCCATTGTGCTCCTTCACCCACTTGTCTTTTTTAAGGTTTTACTGGGATGGGGGTGGCTCAGTGTCTTCTGTCCAGGCCTGGACCACTCCTGTCTCTGGACCTTGGAAGATAAGTTTGTTTTGCTACAAACCAAGAAAAAACACAAAGGCAACAGATGCATTTATTCATGGAAAAATAAATGAAAATAAAATGAGATTAAGCTCCTTAATTCTTTGGTCGTCAGTGTTTTGGCCTTCAGGCTCAGAGTCACTTTGGCAGTGGCTTTTGAGGGAAGGCTGGTGATCCTCTGTCATGGTATCTGCTGTTGTAAGGCTGTAGCCCCTGTCCCTCATTATCCTACGGTGGCTATTTGTGCAGGACAGAAGCATTCAAAGCAGTTACTAGAGCAAACCGAAATTGTGAACAGATGCAAACACTCACAGAAAGAATCTGCATCTGATATGTGTCGATGCTTTGCAATATATACTCCTGAAACGGAATGACTAGTGTAGATGCACTGCAGTGTTGCCTCATGAACTGGTTCAATCACACCATGATAAGTAGAACATAAGGGACCAAGTTGTGTCAGTTTCAGGGAAAGGAAAACAGGACTCAATTTGGCCAAAAGATAGGAGAGATGTCAACTATGATTTTTTCCTTCTATTAGTATATACTGGGTTAATTTTACTTTTTAACTTTTGCCTTTTATAGTCTGTATTCCTGAAGAGGTGTTGGACAAAAGGGTTATTTCAAGTTTGTGCTGAAAATGAAGTTAGTTGTATTTTGGGCCAAGATTAAAAGAGGATGATTGAAGTGCTCAGCACCTTTTTTAAGTAGACAGAGCTAATTTCTGTATGTGCTTATATGATGTATATTTCGCAAGAGGGGAAGTGTGTGAAAAGTAATTAATTTTAGTAAGTGCTGAGCACTTTTGAAAATCCCATTACTTTTTTAGGTGCCTAAATATGATTGAGCCTAACTTGAGGCACACATTTTTCAAAGTTTTGGCTTTGGAATTCATCTTTAATTGTCATGCAGCTTTTACCGTGCAAGAGCACTTATTTTATTTATGTAATTATGAAATTAACAGTCTCATAGATGATAAACCAAAAAAAAAAAAACTTTTACTGTTTTTCCCCCCCCCCTCCTCTTAATGTTCTAGGAAGGTGAACACTGAATATAGATCAAAATTTTTGTCCCCAGCTCAATATTTATACAAAGATGGAGCTTGGTCACGTATCAGGAGAAACATACCAGATCAAGTGAGTATCCATATAAAAATTTTCTAAGCATTCTTTTAGGGCCCCAGTGAGCAAGATGCTGAGGGTCCTCATCTCCCATTGAGGGAATTCAGGATTCACCGGCTTTGTAGAGGGACCAACCCCAAGGTATTCCAGTCTATCAAATCCTTGCAATATCTTTGTATGGTCCATGGGGCAGACATTGTGACTCCACAGTGGGACCTTTCTGTCTAGGAAATGCTGAGAAGGTAGGTTCCAACTAGCTATGACCAAACCAGAATGGAAATGTAATTGACATGGTCTGTGGGAAAGGTCTCTCGTTCTGAATTTTTGCAGATTCATTGTCCAGAGAAATTAATTCAGAGGGAGTGAAAAGGAATTGTATTCCCACTCCTTGCTTCACTTGCTATACCAAGCAAGTTTACTTTGCTTTGTTGAGATAAAGATACATTTTGCCTAAATGTGTATTGTATAGGGAACTAATTTTGTAGTTTGTTGAGATGTGTCATTGTAAAATTTTAGAACAACTGAACCTTATAATAATTACTGTGAAACCAAACTCATGAGGACCTAAGAGGACTAAAAACAAACAGTATTTTTTACTTTTGGTATGCATTAAACCTCAGCTTAGTACAATTAAAATTTTAGGAATTTCTAAGTTATTGAGCACACTCTGATTGCAAGTGTTATGGAAACCCTTTGCTTTTAAAGTGAAATACCATTTTGTCAGATGACGACTTCCCATGCCTCCAGGATTTGAGGTATTGTGTAGGTAACACTCAAAACTCCAAGGAGGGAGTTTGAGACAGCGTGTGGCTGCGAGGTAACCCAAACTGGTATGGGGTGAGTGAGGACAAGAAAATAAAATGTTTATCTGCTAGAATCTTTTTTCCTACTAGTTTTTAGTCTAGTCATGCAGTACATATCAAAGTCACGGATGAAGATGCTGTTAATGGAGAACTAACTACTTTGTGCCTTCTCAGGCAATAGTGATCCTTATTGGGGTCAGGTGGAGAGTTGTAGGAGGTAAATGTGTATGGCCTTTCATTAGAGAATAAGAGAAATGAGCAGATTCCCACACCCTAGGACAATAGAGCTGTGTTTCCAGTTGAGACTGGCATTCCCAGGAAGATTTTTTGTTTATGGGGAATCGCAGAGAAAGCTAGTTGGAAGTCGCATGGGAATGAAGAGGTTCCATGATGAAGTATTCAAAACAAAACTGGTGGGATTTTTTCCCTACGAGCATACTTACTAAAGGATTTGGGTTGGATGGCTGAAAAAACTAGGACTTTTTAATACTAAAATAATATTAACTAAAATGGAATGTCTGTATTTTACTAATCTCATGTTTATATACACACACACACGCGCACACTCTTCTCTCCACCAGATTCTCTTTTACTTATGACAATATATTTTTATAGTGTATACTTCAAAAGTTGTTTAACTTTCCCTTTCATCTTCCTTGACTGGGCTCTGCCATTCAGATTCTGATTTACACTTCACACTACATATCAGACTAGCTCTGCATGTAGACATAGAGCAGTATATAGCTTTTAGAGCAGGGGTGCAGCAGCACCCCCTGGCTTGAAGTGGTTTCCATCATATACACGGTTTACAGTTTGGTTCAATGGCTTTCAGCACCCCCACTAGAAAAAGTGTTCCAACACCGCTGTCCTGGAGGGGTGTTTTCATCTTGCTTTGAGGGGTTTAACCATATGGCACTTATTACTGCTACTGTGTCTGACTAATATCACCACACAATGAAATGCGAATACAATATAACCCTGTCTCTGAAATAGTTTCACTTGGGAGGCTTGCAGTCATTTTAACTATATCTTTTAATTAATTAAAAATGAGTTGAAGTAGTAAAGGCTGAAAAGTAAGTTAAAGCTAGGAATTTACCACGCTCCAGGAGAAAAGGTACAAGAAGGGCTAAATTAACTCCTAGAGGAGCTAATTTAAAACAAGTTAAAAACTCTTATGGACCTGATCCTTGCTTCTCCACTAGTTTTTCTTGAGTTAAGGCCTGCAAGATCAGGCCCTATGTGACTAATAATAAATAGAACTGAATAAAATATTTCAGATACATTTTCAATTTAAAAGCATTCTACCATTCGAGAAATAGGTTTCTGCAAAACAGTGAGACAAATATAAATCCCTAACTGGAAGGAAAAGTGAAGCTATGATCAGTTAAATAAAAAACAAAAACAATCGCCCCCCCCCTTTCCCCAAAAAAGCCACTAAAAACAGTGACACAAATGTGCTTTGGCCCTTCACAACTTAGCCCTCTTCTGCCTCGCTGATCTTGTAACTTATCACACTGTTATCCACCACTGTCACTTTGCCAACACTACTATCTTTTAATGCCCACCCCGTCAGCTTCTCCCCTCAACCACGATCCTGCCTTCTCCATGCCATCCCGGCTGCATGGGGAAAAGTTCCATGAAAAGATCTACATAACTACTGTCTTAACACTATCAAATCTCTCCTTAAGACTGGCCTCTGCTCTGACATCTACAGAACATTGCTTGCTGATGATCGTAGCTAGATAGGTGATGAGTTGTGACTGTCCCAATTCCCCTTCCTTCATTTTCCAATCTTTTTATTCTTAGTGATTCCTGCCATTCCTCTTTACCTCTACGTCCAATTTAAAAAGTGTAACAAAACTGTGCCAGTCACGCCTGTATTTATTTCCTTGAGTGTTCTATCCCCATTCCAAGTCCTTTGGTCAGATCTACATTCTGAAGGTTTTACCAATATAGCTGTATCAGTATTCTGTTCTGGCAATGTGCTCCTAGAGCGGATGCAGAATATAGTGACAAAACTGCATTTTTACTGGTATAGTTATGGTAACTGCACCTGTATTTCCGCAGCAAGGGCACCCACTCAGGCTTCCAGGTCCCCAGTTATTGCCTTTCTGGGTGGAGACCTGCATCTCTCTCCCTCCCGACAGGGGTATTTCCAGCGTACACAGTTCTCTGCCTTCACTGTATTATCCCCAGCACAGACAGTTGCTCAAGGACACATGGTTCTCTTCAGAGATGGTTAATACAGTTATAAGGTACCACACAGCACTTCCTATGCAAGCCTACTTTATTCTTAAGGTAAAAAATATTACAGAGAAAATATATTAAAAATAAAAGAACCTAATAAGTTTACCAAGTTCACCCTGAGGGCATGTCTACACTTGCCATTTAAAGCAGAAAAAGTCCCTTTTTTGCACAAAAACCATGGGAGCTGAGAAGTTTCACCGCAAAAAGAAAGCCACCTCCACGAGAGATGTATAGCTCTTAACCTATGATGCTTTTGCGGTGATGTGCAAATGAAGACACATTCTTCCTGTTTACACAGCTTTTAGCCTCCGGAGGATATCTCACAGTGCCTAGGTGACCATTCTGACCAGCAGCTCTGCTGCCAGGTAAACAGACATCCACCCCTCCCCAAGTAAAGTCCCTGGAACTTTGAAACCCTTCCTGTTTTCTTGGCAAGTGCTCACTTATCTGGCCCGGTGACAATGCCTGCTCCACAGAGCAAACGATCCTCTGCTTGGAGCAAGGCTGAGCTACTAGTGTTTATCAGTGTTTGGGGAGTGGAGGCTGTGCAGGGACCCAGGATACCCCCCCCCCCCATCAGCATATTGACAGGATAGGGCTCAGGACGGAGGGAGTGTGCTGACAGGAGCTGCTGTCTCAACTTGCTGATCTACTTAAAAAGGCAATCTACTTAGAGTGGAGTCAGTGTACTTAAAGGGACAATGTGCATCTCTCTCTCACACAAGGTGTATGCCCCTGTCTCTGTCTGCCGTGCTGTCCCCCCTCCTTCCATTTGTGCTGCCTTGTAGAGTGTGAGGCAACATTAACAACGTGTTAACCCTTGATGCCTCAGCCGAGTTCTAGTTCATCATTTGGCAGTAAGGCATTCCCTGGGAAATATCCCACCCTCTGACTTCACCACCTCAACCAAGTTTCACAATCATCATTGCTGTGTACAGTATTAAATTGTTTGTTTAAAACTTATACTGTGTGTGTATATAAATATATAATATAGTCTTTTGTCTGGTGTAAATTTTTTTCCCTGGAACC